CCCTTTCCACCCCACCCTCCCTCTCCCCTCCCGGTATTGCCACTCTCACCACTAGTCCTGAAGGGATCATCCGTCTTGGATTCTCTGTGTTTCCAGCTCCCATCTGTACCAGTGTACATCCTCTGGTCCAGCCAGATTTGTAAGATAGAACTGGCATCATGATAGTGGGTAGGGAGGAAGCATTTAGGAACTAGAGAAAAGTTGTATGTTTTATCGTTGCTACACTACACCATGACTGGATTGTCTCCTCCCCGTGACCCTTCTGTAGGGAATGTCCAGTTGCCTACAGATGGGCTTTGGGTTCACACTCTGCACTCTCCCTTATTCACAATGATGATTTTGTGCTCCTTGATGCTTGATACCTGATCCCTTCGACACCTCGTGATCCCACAGGCTAGTGTGCTTCTTCCATGTGGGCTTTGTTGCTTCTGAGCTAGATGGCCGCTTGGTTACCTTCAAGCCTTTAAGACCCCAGATGATACAGCTCTTTCTTATACACATACGAATGTCTATGAATTTGCTTTTCTCTAGTGTCCCCGGACCAACACATCTGCAAATAGAGTTAATTCTTCTTAGCCAATTTCGATGTCTTCAATGTCCCTTTTCGGTAATATGTTTATTTAGTTATTTAGTTAAAAAAAAGTATGCCCTTAGAAATACCACTGGAATCCCTGGGTGGCATGAGAGATTACATGCTGGCCGACTCGTCAAGAGGTGGTGGTTCAGACAAAGCCAGAGGTGCCTCAGAAGACAAACCAGGTGATGGACTTCACAGGTCACAGCCTTGGAAGCCCTGTGAAATATAGCCCTACTCTGACACACAGGGCTCTGTTAAGAACGGCATCGCACATATCTAGAACAGTGCGCAGTCAAAAACCCCAAACCCACTGCCACTGAGTGGATCCAACTGATTTGGACCCCATGGGGCAGACTAGAACGACTCCTTAGCATTTTTGAGACAGTAAGTCTTTACAGGGGCAGATAAGACCGCCTCCTAATTCTCCCGAGGAGCCCCTGGTGGGTTTGGATTGCCACCTTTGATTGGCAGTCGTTGCCTAACCCACAGTCCACTAGGGCTGATTTAGACACATTGTCATTAGATAGTTGTCATCGGGTTGGTCTCACTCCTATGGACCCCATATGTAGCAGAAGGAAACTCTGCCCGGTCCGGCACCATCCTCACGATTGTTGTTTCAGCCCATTCTTGTAGCCACTGTGTCGATCCATTCCATCAAAGGTCTTTTTCATTTTTGCTGACCCTCCACTACACCAAGCACAACATCAGTGCTAGTTACACAACCTGGTGTCTATTTGGGACTTGAAAGGATTAAGAGTGAAGAGGTGGAGTCTAGTCTGTCCATCAGGATATAACCAATGGGGCTCCTGTGTGCGCGTGGCCTTCTCCTAGGAATTCTGGGAACTCCTGTATTTCCTCTTTGGAGGTGGGAGGCACTTCTCTCTCTCTGCTCACTTCCTGCGAGACATCCCTGAGGAGAAGCCACACGGAACTACCTTGATGCAGCCCTGTAAGATGGAGAAGCCTGTGGAGACCCCTGCCAGCGCTGAGATGCTTACAATGCCACTGGATCCAAAGACTTTCTACCCACTGGCCTGTGATCGTCCTGTATTCGGCATCATTGCATGTGAGTCTGAAGAGGACTTTATAGATTGGTATCGGACATATGGGCTAATATCGGACTTATGGACTTGATCTGGACTGGGCTGGGCTATTTTCTCAATATTCAATTGCTTTTGAATATAAACCTCTTCCTCATATACATATAAGGGTCTATGAATTTGTTTCTCTAGTCTACCCAGAGGAACACAGCATCCCTTTCCAGGGACATGTGTCTCTTGAAAACATCCAAATGACATGTGCAGGACTCAATAAATACTTGATGAGAGAAAGAACACAAGGTGGCTGTGGGGGATTTGAGTGAGTATTCGGGCATCTGCCCCCGTCTCCCAGCTATGGGCAAGAGTAGAAACTTGGTTGGATGTAAGATCAACATCCAGGCTCGCTGGCCTGATGCTCAGGTTTGGAGCCTTGGTTCTGCCACCAATTTCATCTACAACCTCGTTCGGTTGAATAGATAGAACAAGAGCTTTGAAATCTGCTATGTCCCAGCTGTGCAATTTTGAGAAAATTGCTTAATCATTTTTTAGGAGCCCCATGGGACTGTTGTAAAGATCGAAGAGACAACGTATCTATTTAGCAAACCCCTCTGAGTTGACTTGGACTCACCAAGACCCTGCAGGACAGAAGCTGTAAAGCTTTGTAGAAGCCAACTGCCCTTCGCTTTTTTTGTTGGCAGCAGAACGTTTGAGCCTCTGTGCCCCCAGGACTCCTACATGTCTTTAAGCTAAAACCAAACCCACTGCCACC